AAGACTCTTGTAAATATCTTTAAGAAACTCCTTTTCTTAAGGACTGCCCTAGAGCGTGTTCCCAGACCTCCACAACAAACTAGAAGTTTCCAGAGAGGATGGGAAGAATAGGCTCGACTGGCCTGAGCAGAGAAGTTGCTGCCTTCCTGCAGTTCCTTCTGTTGCTATGATTTGTCATAATCCCCAGACCCATTTGAGAAAGTCCGACAACCCTTAGTGGTTTTACTTCTGTCGACTGAGAAAAATGCACAACCTAAAAGTTGAGAGTTATGTTTTATTCAGCGGATTTTCTGAGGACTTCAAGCCTGGGAGACAGCCTCTCAGAGAGCTCTGAGGGACTGCTCTGAAGAGGTAAGAGAGGAGCCAAGATATAGGGGTTTCTGCAACAAAGACCAGGTAGTGAGAACATCAAAAGATGACTGTTAAAGAAAACCGGACATCTCAAGTTAAGGGATTTAGTGCTTTTCCATGTATGGGAAGATGCAAGAGTCTGTGCTCCTTGAAATCATTCCTTTGATATGCACCTTAGCTACCTACGGCCCATATCCTGTGCTTCCCATCCTAAGGCCCCTCAGGGGCATCTCTGCCGGTGGCTGCAGTGGTTGAGGGCTTGACAGTGGCAGCCTGTTTGTCTCCATCCTGAGTTCCCTCAGGGCTCACATTCGGGTCTGGTGACTTGGTGGCTGCAATGTCCTTTGTTTACTGACTTGGCTGGCAACATTTTTCATTCACACTTGCGGTGCTTAGTGGTTCTGCAGTTTGACAGTCACTCTTGCTTCTGTTTTGTAGATGAGGTGCAGCACATTCAGGCTGAGAAAAACAACAAGGGCCCGATGGAGGCTGCCTCACTTTTTCTGCAGTTCTTACTGGAGCTCCAGGAGGAAGGCTGGTTCCGTGCCTTTTTGGATGCCCTTAACCAAGCAGGTTAGTTCATTCTTCTTACTCACAAATCAGAGTATATTACTTAACTGTTTCAGAACGTCATAAAAGTGAAATGCTGTTAATTTCAAAATCCACATTTAGTTCATGTCTCATAATCTGAGGCAATAAAAGGACTAGTTTGAGGCAGATACCATAATTGTCTCCCTGAAATATCCAGAGGAATCTACAGAGAAATATTACAGGTAATGGGAGAGTTTAGGCAGTTTATTGGATGTAAGGTTAGTAGTTACGTTTTTACAGTACTTTTTAAAATTCTAGTTGTAGTTACATTTTCCAGTACTACAAAAATTAGTTACGTTTCTACCCACTGGAAGCAAATAGAAAATGTAATCCAAAACGAAATACCATATATAATAGTAACGAAAGTTGTAATGTATTTAGGAATAAACCTATCAAAGATGTGTAGAGTCTGAATGGAAAAAATGATAAGAGGCTGTTGAAAATTATTGAAGAAGCCCCAGCTAAGTGGAGATGTGTACCCATGCACGTGGGGAGGAAGACCCGACACCGTAAGCCTGTCAGCTCTCTCTACATGGACCTGTATATTCAGTACAATTCTGAATAAAAATCCAGCATGCTTTTTCATGAGCTTGACAAGCTGATTCTAAAACGTATCTGGAAGAATTATGACCCAAGAATAGTCAATACACCCCTAAAGAAGAATTAATTAGGTTGGGGCTTCCCTTTCTAGATATTGAAATCTATTATAAAGCCATAGGCATTGAGGTGGCATAACATTGATCCTGGCATCATACAACTGACCAAGGACATAGAATAGAGAGCCTTCAATTAGGCTTTTGTGTTTATGGAAACCTGATATATTGGAGATCACTGGGAAAGGAGGATCATGCAGAAAGGAGGGGCTTTTTGACAAATCGCAGTGGGCCATTTTAAACAGGATAATGTTATGTCTAACTTTCATAACTATGTGAATACTAAAAAATTTGTATTCCTTACCTCCTTCCATGCACATATGCCTACACACTCACACACATACACAATTTATTCTAAAGAACTGAAGACTTAATTCTTAATGGAAAAATTTTAACAATTTTATAAATGAATATAGAATAGTATTTTTATGACCTTGGGGTATAGCAGAATTTATGAAACAAGATGTTAAAGCATTAACTGTAAAAGAAGGATTGATAAATTTGATGACATTAAAATTAAGGACATCTGTTTATCAAAAAAACACTATAAAGAAAGTGGAAAAACAAGTCACAAACTGGGGGAGGGTGTTCTCAAAATATATGATCACCAAAGAAGTAGTATCAAGAATATATTTAAAAGGATTTAAAATCAATTAGAAAAGGAAAGAAGAGATTTACAAGGCAAAAGATGGCACCAGGCACTTCAAAGAATAGGAAGCATGAAAGGTTAATAAACAAATGAAAAGATTCTCAGCCCAACTAGCAATTAGGAAGTTGTAAGTTGGGAACACAATGAGATAGAATTATAGATAGATAGATACACATTCTTTTTCATTATAGGTTGTTAGAAGGTGTTGAATATAGTTCTCTCTGCTATGCCATAGGACCTTGTTTTTATCTATTTTATATATTATGTATCCAGTAATCCCAAACTCCTAATTTATCCGTCCCCCACCCTTTTATAACTGCTAGATAGCAAAACTTAAGAAGTCCAACAATGTGAAGACTTGAAGAGAATCTTTAGTGATGGGAAATCTTAAGTAGCACCATAGGGAGTGTAAATGCTACAACTATTTTGAAAAATGATTGGCATCATCTTGTATAGTTCAGCTCGCATGCAAGCTTAACAAACAAAACTGAAAGCAACCTCAGTATCCTCCAAGAGGGGACTGGATAAGTAAATTTTGTAATATTCACGCAATGGTCTGTTATACTGCAATGGAAATTTGCGAACATAGCTATAGACAGCAACACAGGTGAAGCTTAGAAATGTAATATTAAACTTTTTAAAAAGTCAGATAAAATTGCATTTAGTAGGATATAATGATAAACGTTTCAAACACCCTTGAAGTAAATATGTATTGTTTAGGGAACTGAACATGTGCCGTGCAACTACTCAAAAAAAATCAAGAGAGTGATAAATCAAATACAGGATAGTTGTATCTTTGCAGGAAAATGTAAGGGTGGGAAAGAGGAGGCGGGCACGCACCCATGAAAGAATCGATAGTCGTAGTTGAATGTGTGCTCATTTTGCTGTCATGCTCTTTATAGCCTGATGAAAAGGGTGTGGGCCTTGCAGTCAGACAAGTCTGGTGATTCTGTTAAGAGAAACTTAGAGACAAGCATTCTTGGAGTACTACAGTTGGAAATAATTTTTCTTTCTCAAATTTCCCGTTCTCCTTACTATTCTTTTCTTGGAATAGTGTAGAAGGTAAGCTCCTGAGGGACAGGAGTGAAAATTTTTATTTCTTTTTGCCCTTTTTACTGCTTTGCACTGAGAAGATACTTAACAACTTGATGGTTTGACTCACTGAAAGACAAGTCAGAGGTTGTAGGTAAAGTCCATGGGGTACCTTGGAAGGAAGACTTCATGCTGAGACCAAGTGTAAGACTTCAGATTGATCCTTAGTACTTTCCTAGGAGATGATTAACGTTGTTTGAGGACCTAAAATGTGGGGTGCCTAGAATGCATATTGACTTTTCTTTTTGAAAGAGTATTAATAACAGAGATTTACAGATATGTTTTGATTTCTCTCACTGTACATTCAAACATGATTCCTATGATATTAATCTCAAAGTATTTTTCAGTTGGCCTTGTAAAAGCCCCATTTTCTTTCTACCTTTCAGGTTATTCTGGACTTTATGAAGCCATTGAAAGTTGGGATTTCCAAAAAATCGAAAAGTTGGAGGAGTATAGATCACTTTTAAGGCGTTTACAACCAGAATTTAAAACCACGATTAATCCAAAAGATATCCTTCCTGAAATATCTGAATGTTTAATTAGTCAGGAATGTGAAGAAATTATGCAGGTATTTAATTAATATTGAATTTTTTAGTTTGGGGGAGATAATTTGAACATGGGGCACATCTTCTATTTTCTGTGCTGTTTTAGACCTGAGGAAGATCACTGAAATTTATGGAAGTCCTCAAATCTAAGACATAATTACCTAGAAGAGTACTTTGAATTGTGATCTGAGTAATTTTTATGTCACAAGTTTTTTTTCAGGTTTGTCCTATTTTCAGTGAAAATTATTTTATTACTTTTGTGAGTAATGTTTTATGCAAATCTAAATAAAACCAAACAGCTTAGCAAATAAAAAGAAGGCTAGAGATTCCAGTAGTTAAGTGTGCAAACCTAGCTCAACCGCTTGCTAGTGGTGTGATCTTAGGCAAGTTATTTAATTTCTCTTACGTCTCTGTTTCATCCTGTATAAAGTGGAAATAATAGTCGTATGTTATTGACGTGGTATTTTACAGGATTAAATGAGATAATATATGTTAAGTGCTTACATATGCCTGGCAAATAATAATAAGAGCTCAATACGTCTTAGTTATTGTGATGAATAATAAAAGTCATGTAAGTTCCACCACCCTGAAAAAAACCTTTTGTTAATAGTTGGTTACATTCTTCCAAATATCCCTATGCGAATACACCCATATTTTGAATGGTTGTCAAATGGGTTGATCGTTTTCCTGATATTGCTGCTGATGATACATATAACATCTCAGAGGAGATGAGAACATATGGTTTGACATAGTGGTATCATGTGTAGAGGACAAGAATGAAGGAAAAGGTATCTCAAAAGGCCGTGTTGGGTGGGGCCAAAATGGTCATGAAGGAGACCTACTGGACCAGAGTCTTCACTGATTTTAAGTCAGGTCGTACTTGCATTGATATTTCTTCAGGGAAAACTCATAAAATGGAAACTTTCAAAATGATCAGTCAGCTGCATTTGTCTTGCTTAGGTTTGTTCCAACAAGGGGCTGATGGCAGGTGCAGAGAAAATGGTGGAATGTCTTCTCAGATCAGACAAGGAGAACTGGCCCAAAACTTTGAAACTTGCTTTGGAGAAAGAAGAGAGCAAGTTCAGTGAACTGTGGATGGTGGAGAATGGTAGGCTGTTCAGAAGGGTTGGGAGGGTCTGAAAACATGCCCTTCCTCATGGTTCTACTTAGGGCTTCCTTCGCTCCTCCCTGTTCTTCACTCACTGTCAGAGGCATTTTCCCTTCAGATACTCATGCCTACAACTCTAGCAAGAGGCCAGCATGAAGTTGAGTTCTAGGAGACAGGTGGTTATTTGCCTACAGCATTAGTTTGTTTGTATATAACCCCTAAAAATGGATTAGGACAAATCACTCTCATCCAGAATTAGCCCATCTGGCCCAAAGGATCTGAGGAAGTCTGAGGCTGAGGCCATTGTCTGGGTTTAGATTATCGGAGAAATAGCTTGCAAATTCAAACCCCAGGACTCACCCCATTTAAAGAGTAGAATCATGATAGACATTACCTGGTTCCCCTGCCTGGAAGCCAGCTGGAACTGCACCAGAATGGGACTGAAAAAAAGAATCTGTTGTGATTCAGTATCTGAGCCATCATTTGGCTTTCTGGAGCTGCTAACATCTCAGAGCATTATTTTAAAGGCCAGATTTGGTGAGCCATCTGGCAGTGTCTGGTCTTAGCCATTCTTTGGCTTCTTTAAGATCATAAATTGTTCCAGAAATTGTCTGTATAAATAACATGTCTGATTTCTTGGGTCGAGTCAGGAATGGAAGACATGGGTGTCTGCTAAATTGTACTTCTCTTCTTTGGGGGATCTTGTCAAAATGCAGATTCTGATTCAGTAGGAGCTCATGGGTCTGCATTTCTTTTTTTTTTTTTAATGAATAAATTTTTTTTATTTCCCAAGATTTTTGTTTCCTATAAAAAATGCTAATTACACTCTTAAATCTTCGGTTGAGGGGGGGTCTGCATTTCTAACAAGCCCCTAAAGAGGTTGCTGGTCCATGTTCCATCCTCTGAATGATAAAGTCCTAAATGACAGTGGAGTTCAAACTCCAAACTGAGATTTTTCAAACTCAAAAAATTATTTTAATTGTTATAAAATGGAAGTTTAAAACTTTAGTATTATGACCCCTTTGTAAGACTTTTGCCCTCAAGACCATAATCAGGTAATGTACAGATTCTAAGATGTTTTTTGATCTCATAAAGGTGCAAAAGGTGTTGAAATGAAAGATCTTGAGGATGATGAAATGAAGACTTTCGATGTACAGATTTTCTACAAGGAAGAACCAGAAAACCAGAATCTTAGTCAGAATTCTCATCCCTCTTCAGGTACTCAGCATTGTTTGTTCTTTTCCAGAATGGCGCCCTTTAGGTTTTTTGTGTGGGGATGTGTTTTGCAGTGCCAAAAGTCACAGCCTAATGAAAAGGTTTTTAAGGAAAAGTAAGACAGAAAAGAGAATTTATATTAAAATTGACGCTTTTTCTATCATTAAAAATGTCATTCTCTCCCTTGCATAGCTATTGCCAGCTTCTTCTTCTTCTTCTTCTTCTTCTTCTTCTTCTTTTTTTTTTTTAACCTTTTTTTGGTCTTCTTTCACCACTAAAGGCATGGCTACCTGGAAGATGCAAATAGAGTCTTCCCAGAAACTCTGTGTCTGTGAAATCCAGAATCAGCTTTGCTTTCTAAAGAAATACTTCTAGTCCTTGTGAGTCACTTGCTCAGTTTCCTCTGAGGCTCCCAGGGCTGTGATGTACGGTGATGAAGTGTGTGCACTGCACAAATGTGCGGGGCTGAGATGTTGAGCCAGGGTAGAGATCAAGCCTGTGCTTTTTGCCAAACAGTGCCCTGAGGGGCTGTGTCCTCCTAAAGGGGCGCCTTTCTCTAATTCACACTAAGGCCCTATATAAATTAGCTGTGGCCTTGTAAGGCCCACTTTAAGTTTCTAGAAGCGTATTTTCATGAGGAGACCAGAAAGTTGCATAATAAACCATTGTAAAAAGTAATTTATAAACAACAGAATCCTACTGTATGGCACAGGGAACTATATTCAATATCTTGTAATAACCTATAATGGAGAGTATTTATATGTATAACTGAATCACTATGCTTCACCAGAAACTAACACAACATTGTAAATCAACTATACTTCAGTTGAAAAAAAAGTTATTTCTAAAAGGGCATCAGGGAAGAGATTAGGATTTAATAATGGGTAGTGTTAGAAGGAAGGTGTGATTTGGGGATAACACCATAAGAAGAACATTTATAGACTACTTCTGCAACCAAATGATATATGTTTCTTGTCATTCCAGAATAAAATCAATGAACATCAACTGCTTTAAAATTTTCTGACATGTAAAAGTCCTTAGTGAACTCACTTAGCCTTTTAGAAATTCCCCTTTTCTTTAAAATGGGTAGGTGGAATCCACAGATGATGTCCAAGGCCTTTTCTAGCTTTTAACATTTATATGCTTATCCATTACTAAGATAAAGCTTCTGATTATTTTTTGGAAACTTCTGGTTCTGATGAGAGACTGGAGAATTACAAAGCATGGTTGCTCGTCCGTGAGAGATTACCCTGGGAGCTCAGTATTTACAGCTTGATGTTTTTGAAAGCTCTTGGACGGATTTGCTGTTTTGTCCTGTGCAGCATTTCCTCTAACTAGTGTCTGTCTTGCCCCCTGGATTAGGCTACTCCTGCTTTAGTGTCTCCTTATTAGGCTTCCATGATTGTTTCAGAAAGAAATCTTTGTGGGTTTTTTTTTCCCCTTCTTGCCATTGGCACTTTGTCGTTGAGGGAGAATTCTGTACTTTGAATCAGCGCAGAAGCTGAATGGTTAATTAGGGATAAGGATTCTAAACTTCCTTCAACGAGGCCTTTCTTGTTAGAGTCAGAATTCTTGTCTAGTGGGCAATTGCCTTGATTCCTCAAAAGAGTCACTATTTTGTAATTTAGTTCCTTTTATATTACAGAAGCGCCTCATATTTACAGCCCAGTGAAGCCAAGAAATTACCAACTAGAGCTCGCTTTACCTGCTCAGAAAGGAAAAAACACAATAATATGTGCTCCTACTGGTAAGCCGATTGCCATTACTTACGTAGTTTCTCTGTTTGCTTTTTTTTCTCCTTTTATGAAACACTGGGACAAAATGGGGAAGCTTCAGTTTTTCATTGTTCCATTTGTCTTTTGAGAAGATCATTCTATTAACGTGGACTTCAAGGTGTTTTAAGGACCATGAGGAGGGAAGGGAAAGCGCCCCCTTTCACTTCCTGCAGGCCCTGGCTGTCAGTGCAGGGAGCCTGGGAGGGAGCTTGATTCTGAGTCACAGTGTAAATTCTGCAGTTGTTAACCCACCTGCATGCCCAGTTGACTACTCAGCATAGTGGCTTTAGAGGAGCCAGAAATAATGACCTTTGTACAGAAAGATTTTTGTATACTGTCAGTTAGTTACATGTTTTCTTTCTCTTTATGTGTTAAAAGGTTGTGGAAAAACCTTTGTTTCACTTCTTATCTGTGAACATCATCTTAAAAAATTTCCACAAGGACAAAAGGGGAAAGTTGTCTTTTTTGCTGTTCAGCTCCCGGTGTATGAGCAGCAGAAGTCTGTGTTCTCACAACATTTTGAAAGACTTGGGTACGTAAAACAGTCGATTCAATGTCTTTTTCTCAAGCTTCATGCAACTGATGTGTTTTCTGCTTGTTTTGCTTTTGGAAAACTATGATTCCAAAGATTTATGGTAGATTCAGCCTTTATATAATCTAGATGTAATTCCTTCATGGATTCAAATCTTTTTCATTAGATATACCTGAAATCCAGAACTCCTTTGATTAGCTCTTATAGAGGAGTAAATGACTTGAGAGAAATTTTATACTTAAACGGCACATTTAACTTTTTAAGACTTTATAATTTATTTAATAGTTTTCTTTTCTTTACTATTTTCTTTCTTGGTGGCTTGAAAGAATTACGGTTGGCCCTCTGTATCTGCGTGCGCCGCATGGACTGCAGTCTGCTGGAAATTCTACGTAGCTTAACATTTATTGAGCACTTACTATGCATCAGGCTTTGTGCTAAGAACTTAACTTTTCTCCAGATCTATTTCTTTTGGACTTAGAGGGAACTTAATGAATGTTTTGATCTAGTGTTTCATATCTTTGTGGTTCCCCATTCACATCATGGTTGGTAATAGGGTGCTTCTGTCACTTTCCAGGTACAAAGTTGCAGGCATTTCTGGAGCAACATCTGACAATGTCTCCGTGGAACAGATTGTTGAGAACAATGACATCATCATTTTAACTCCACAGATTCTTGTGAACAGTCTTAAAAATGGCACTGTTCCATCACTCTCTGTGTTTACTTTGATGATATTTGATGAATGCCACAACACCAGTAAACACCATCCTTACAACATGATCATGTTCAATTATCTAGATCAGAAACTTGGCGGATCTTCAGACTCACTGCCCCAGGTATCTCCAAAGTCAGATGAGCTCTAATCCTCCTAAATCCTATTAAATTACTTTAAATTATTAAATTAAATCCTTTACTTACCCTTGTGGCCAAATTAGGGATATCCTTCTGAGATTCTAAATGTATATTGTACAACTCATTGATTCATTTTGCTTCATTCATTCATTTGTTCCCTTAACAGATATGTATTAGGTATCTCCATGTGTCATGTGCTGTACCAGGTACTGGGGATACAAATATAAAAAGAAATAGTCCTTGCCCTCAAGGACACACAGCCAGCGGGACACGGCTGGGATCAGAGTGGAAGCGTGTCTGGTTTTAGTCCTTTTCCTTTTCAGTGTGTTGTTTTGTGCATCACGGGGGCACGAGGGTAAAGGAGAGAGAGGTGCTGCTTTGAAAGGGTTTCCTCTCTTGGCTCCTTGCTGCTTTGTGTTCAGCATAGAAGCCAAGAGACTCCTGCATTTATTAAGCGCTTTGCCTAATAGGAACCTTTCCATTTCTGATGTCATAGAGACTCAGAAAACTAATGTCCTTGCTCTTTATCTGAAGTCAGTTTAAAAACCTATGTTAGCAGGACAGCGTCGCAGGAGCGGTTGTGGAAACACCATGCTATTCCCCAGACATCTAA